AATAATAATAATAATAATAATAATAATAATAATAATAATAATAATAATAATAATAATAATAATAATAATAATAATAATAATAATAATAATAATAATAATAATAATAATAATAATAATAACAATAATAATAATAATAATAATAATAATAATAATAATAATAATAATAATAACACAACAATAATAATAATTTCTAAATGTTACTGTTATTGTAGTAGCAACGGTAGTAATAGCAGTAATGGTAGTAGTAGTAGTAGTAGTAATAGTTGAATTAACTTCATAGAAAAAGAGCAATAACGGATTAAAAAAAATGCCTTCGGCATTTTTCGGTAGAATGACTTGTAAACCGAATAAAATAGTGATTGAAACTTGCTGGGTGAGTATGGATATATGAAAATATACAGAATGTTAAGAATGTGTATGTATGTATGTGTATGTGTAGTGTGTGTGTGTGTGTGTGTGTGTGTGTGTGTGTGCATGTGTGTGTACGTATGTATGTATGGATATACAGGCTTTAATAAAGGTAAAGGTAGAGGGAAGGGAAAAGGAGGTGTGTACATGGATGTATATCTGCATGTCTTCAAGATTAGGGTGTATCGAATCGAGGGTACTTAAAGAAACGACTACAGCTCAAATTAGTATTGAGATTAACCATTCATATGGCAATGATTATTTTTATTATTTATACAATCATATTTACAATTTTAATATCATTTACAACAAGTAGCTGCTAATTCAATTCCATTAATGAATTTACATGCATTTCATGTTTTTTTGTTTTTTTGTTCTTTTTCCTATTTTTCATTTCATATTCTTAAATATGTTAATTTCTTTTTTTTTTTTTTTAGGTCATACGACTTAATATTTTTTTGCGCAATTTAACAAGGATTAGCAAGAATGCAATCGGTAAGTGCTAATTTTTTCAAATTTCCTTTTTTATTTCTCTCTTTTTTTTTTTGAAATGTTGATATTATCAAAAATTTAAATTTCAAACTATTCAAAATTGAGTAATAAAAGGAATGATGGCGCAATTAGACGAATAAATACATCATAGATACATTTATTTAACTGTTTATTTGAAATGCAACAAATGCAATTTTAATTTTAGCATTTACAATTTAAGCAAAATTTTATTTGTTCGAAATAAATTCAAATTTCCCTAATTACACTTGCGACTTATTTTTTTTCCTTTTTTTTATTGAAAGTAGTTTTGAACCTTTTAAATCTAAAATTTAAAAGTTTTTGAAATGAAAATAATAAATTATTAAATGATCACGTAATCATTCTTACTTCATTACTCCTCTATCTTTTTGCATTTCTTTCCTAATCTACTTGCAACGATCGTATTTTGCAGCTATTACTATTTGCGGCTTTGTCAATTGGAGCGCTAATAAATCCAGTTTATAGTTGTCTTGGTGGTGGTTCATGCTGTTGTCCACCAGCAAAACCATCATGTGGTTGTGGTAGTACCTGTGGTGGTGGTGGTGGTGGTGGTGGTGGTGGTGGAGGGTAAGTTTCCATAATTTTTTTCTTTGTTTTTTTCCCATATTTTCTTTAACAGTTATCTATCACATGGTTTAATTAAGAATCATTATTACTAAATAAATTATTGTTGCTTTTTTTTTTTCACTTTTTTCATTCTTCAATTCATCCCTATATCGCTTTTTTCTTCCTTTTTTTTTTATTTAAGATAAAAAATTAGAAGAAATAATTAAACAAATAAATGAAAATTGAGCAGTAGAATAGTTAATTATATTAAAAAAAGTTGAGTATAATATGAGGGATAATTTGCAATAAATAATAAAACATTTATCACTTTCTTATCACTTTTCAAATTTAATAATGATAAAATTTTAAGCATGATATAAAAATGATGGATTAAAATTAACCATCTTGGAATAAAGGTATTCGACTATCTACAATGAGCAAATCAAATAATTCTAGGAAAATTTTTCCAGTATTAAAATATATGGAAAAAAAAAGAAAGAAAATACATTGTTATATGTATTTGACAGAAAAAAAAAAGCATAAATTGTGGGAAATTGCAGAACAGAAAAATAAACAACTTTTTAGCTCTATTTGAATAAGAGAATGTCGTTTTGGCAATTAACGATTTAAGAGAATTTGTGCGTATGTCGCCATCGTATTTGACAAAATAAAATTCCATTCCAGAAAAAAACAAAAAAAAAAGAAAATTCCAAGTAAAAAATTTTTTAGGATAATGTAATGAAAGAAGTTAAATTAAAATATTGAAGTTTTGTAATATTTTATCCAAAGAGTAAGTTATATTTTTGTTCAAAGTCTGTTTTGATCGGTAAAATTGAGCATGAAGCAAAGACTTATTTGGCTTGTTTCGGTTTTGTTATTGAATTTTTTGAAATTCTAAAATGTTCGTTTGTTTTTTCAGATATGCGGCGCCACAAAAAGGATATGCAGGACCGCCACCTTCATCTTATGCGGGACCTCCACCGCCACCTCCTGCGTATGCAGCACCTCCACCTTCTTCCTATGCGGCTCAACCACCTTCTTCCTATGCGGCACAACCACCACCCTACGCTGCACCACCTCCAGCTTCTTCCTATGGGGCAGGACCATCTTATGCATCGCAACCTGCTTATGGTGCACCATCTTATGGAGGAGCATCATCATACAGTGGCGGAGGGGATTCTTACGGAAAAGGAGGAGCAGGATATGATGGAGGAGCTAGTTACGGAAATGGCGGTGCCTCACAGTACGGTGCTGGTGCCTCACAGTACGGTGGCGGTGCCTCACAGTACGGTGGCGGTGCCTCACAGTACGGTGGTGGTGCTTCACAGTACGGCGGTGGTGGAGCAGCAGGCGGAATCTATGGAGCAGCTGCACCTGAATTACCACCACCACCACCACCACCACCAGCACCTGCACAAGCTCAGCAATTACCAGTCAATCATCAACCGTTCCAGGAGCAGGCATCAGCAGTGGCTGCGGAAGCTCCTCCTGTAGCTGCACCTGCTCCATTACCTTCATACCAGGAGCAGTCACAATCGCTACCAGTTTCAGCTCCCGCTGCTTCATCATATACGGAACAAGGTAGCGGAGGAGCGCTTGCACAAACATACCAAGAAAGTGGCCCTGAAACAGCGGTAGCTGGTAATCAGGCCGGTAGTGGTTATCGTGATCGATTGAAATTCGCGAAAGTTTTCAAGCAACGATTGAGTAGTTAGGACTCTATAAAAAATTAATTTCATGTCTTTCCTCTTGTGCCTTTTATTCTAATTCAAGGAGTGGATTTAGCTTAAATTTTTTGTTTCCTTATTTTTATTTTTTTATTATTATTTTACTATTTTTTTGGACAAATTCCATCATTATCAGTTCCATGAAGTAAACATTATCTTACCTTTCCTAATTCAAAACTTTATCATGAAAAATTAACCTATTCATAAGATATTATATGTATCCAATTACAATATCATTTACCGTTATCTCTGTCATTTGTTATCATTACTATTCCTTTTCTGTCATCTGTTATTATTACTATTCCTTCTCTGTAATAATCTGTTACCATTGCTATCTATCTACCTATCTATCTATCTATCTATCTTTCTATATATATATATATATATATATAGTCATATATTTATACATTATATATCGATATTTGTATAATGATTCTGTGCTGTTTGTATATGTCGTCAATAAGATCACTGGAAATATTTCTTGGATTATTTACATTTTATGGCTAATTTGGTGCATTCAGTTTGAAATTAAAGATTGAAATGTTTGAATAAGGAACAAAAAAAAAAAAAAAGACGACAAAAATAGAGCCACTTATCCTGTTTTACAACACAATTAACGTTAATTCCATCTATACAACTAATTAGCTCCTTTAATCTCCCGCAATGCTAGTTTCTTTTTCTTTTTTTTTTTTGTTTCGAAGGTTTCATAAAACTTCAGATATCTTTTTTCTTTTTTTTTTCTTTAAGTGGAACATTGTGAAATTTCAGCAATACACTTAACAGGAAATGTGACAGACAAATTTAATTTAATAGGACCTTGCTGATTTCATCTAAATAGTAAATGTTAAATTAATGTTATGGGAGATCTGATGCTTAGAAGGAAATTTTTATCTTAACACCTTCTACATCAAAATGCAAACAACTTGTTTTTTATTTTTTTTTAAAAACCTTTTTTCAACCATCTATGTCGTATATTTTTACAATGTCAGCTGGTATAAATGCAAAGACAATAAAAAAAAAAAAAAAAAAAAAAAAAAAACTTACAAACATGAGCTGATTCCAAAATCTGAACACGTCTAAAATGAATATTAAAACGGTGGCAATTCCGGAAGAAGTACTTTTGAAACTTAATAATTCATCCATGTTATTGTTTGGTCATCTAATAACATTAATCATTTTTAACTATGAATTCCAAAATTTCATTGCCTATACTAATAAATTCGAATTAACTTTTGGAAATAAAATAAAATAAATCCGAAAAGAGGCACTGTTACTATTATCATTATTATTATTGGTTATTATTATTATTATTATTATTATTATTATTATTATTATTATTATTATTATTATTATTATTATTATTATTATTATTATTATTATTATTATTATTATTATTATTATTATTATTATTATTATTATTATTATTATTATTATTATTATTATTATTATTATTATTATTATTATTATTATTATTATTATTATTATTATTATTATTATTATTATTATTATT